CGCAGGGTTGTTTTTGGGTTCTTTCTATCAAATGTGAAGTTTTTGTCGACGCTTGTTCTTTTGAGCACTGAAAGAATACCCAGTTAGGCGGAACTGGGCGGAGTGTCAGAACCCAGGTGATCTAGTATCTTCCGAGTGTTCTGAGTGCCCCCCACTCGAAACCGAACGGAAAACGAACTCTGTTCGCTGACCGGTTCGTGTTTGGGGCGTTGATCATAGATTGGTCGATTTTACCAGATTGTTGTCAGGCATGGATAAGAGCTGTTGTCAACCCAAGAAATATCATACCGTTTGTGTTTTGGTTGAGGGTATGGCAACATCCAGAGCTTGAAAACTTCAGTGGGTTTTTGAGAGAAACAGACCTTGCTTTTGGATGTTTTTGGGGTTGCGTTCCAGGTGGCTTTGTTGCTGGTCTTGGCATGCTGTGGCGCTGATTGGCCTAAGATTTGTGGTCACAAGGGAACGACGAGCAGGGGTTTGGATTTTGTGGGAGAGGAGGGTGGAGGGTTGGAGTATTGTAGATTCCAACGTTTTCCCTAAAAGGCCTGAAGGGCCAGGCTGGGAAGTCTTTATTGTGCTGGGGGTTCAGAGAGGCCCTTTGGGGCGCTTTAGGGAAGATGGATTTACAAGCTCGTACACGCATTGCCTGAGCAGCAAGGTTTTGTTTATTTGTAACCTCAAAGAATCCTGGAGTATGACCCAACATCAAAATATCCCCCAACAGCTTCAAAGGTCAAAGTCCAAGTAAATTGTCCATACATTCCTTTCCCTTCGTACCTCCACCTTGATTGCTGTCCGATCGACACACGCCAGCTGAGCCACATCTGCAAATGCCCAACCCGCCAAACCAGCAGGCCACGCTATGCTATAAGGCTATACGTTATATTCCGTAATGGTAAACACAGGTTTTCATGGGTTTTCCATCTTTTGCCCCATCTCCCAGCTGCCGCGTCTGAGGTCTGGCAGGTGGGTTCTTGGGTGCTCAGCTGCCTCCGTCGCACCTTTGGCCAAACTCCGGAAAGCTTGGATGGCTCGGGCGCGGACCTCCGGATGAACTCGGGCGAGGACCTCCGCGCGCCGAGCTCCGTGGAGGCTGGACCGGTGCTCCGCTAGGGGTCTTCTTTTCGCCGCGTCGGCGACTCGTCGATCGTTCATGGCAAGGTGAATGGCCGTGAGGTCCAGGTGGAGCATCTCATCCAAATGAAGGACGACCGGTTCGCGCGTGGGTTTTGAGGTGTTTTCAGAGATCAACGCAGCTCAGACGCATTTCTTAACGCATTCCTCCAATAGACAGACTGGATTTTGACCACCCAGAGGGAAACATCAATACACTCCCTAGAATGATCATGGTTACGTGGAACATGGATGATGTGAACATCGCTTTTGAGTCAACTCATCCAGAGTCATCGTCCGCCTTCCTCTGCTCGATAGGGGTATCTGAAAATAGGTCGAGCATAGTCATTCTGCATGAATGAGCTTCAGGGCTGTCTTTTTGAAGCGCAGGTTCTGCGAGGCGTGAAGCCAGGAAACTGTCCCTCGCAAGTCCAGGACTTGCGAACAGCCTATGCGCTGCTCTTCGGGGCCGGTTTCGTCGGGGGGTATCTTGGCAGGGACCAACGGGGAATGCTTGGAAAAACGTGGAAAACCCAGTACTTGGTACCAGGATGCTAGAGATGAGAGGAGAGAACCAGTGGTTGCAAATATTAAACATGACACCATGAACCTCAAACATCGCTTCCTCTGAACAAAAAAGACACCAGGTTGGGTCGGTTCTGGGTCTGGCAGATCGGTAATACTCAGTAAGAGGCATCCATCCTGGAAGCAAACAGTCCCCTAATGTCCCCTATGCAAGCATGTGGGCCACACTTATCACTCCAGCGGAAATCCCCACCATAAAAATGTCCAATTCTCTTTTGACCGACCCCAACAAATCCAGAGACAGGTGGGTTTAAGATTTGGGAGGGATTATGGATTTAACATGATATCATGCACAAGATCACCGGTTTTCGAGTAGTGGTGCAATCCCCAAGATTGGGGGGTACAGACCACCATCCAGACATTGATCCGGGGGTTGTGCAAACTACGCTGACACTGTAAGCAGATGCATCGGATCCGTCCATGAGAGACCATGTTGATGCAAGACACGGGTAATCTAGCCATTGAAGCCATTGCAAAGCGATGCTTTTTGAGCGGTTCAATCAATGTCATGGATGGAATGCCTCCAAATAAAAGACTACGATAAACTTCCGCAGATATGGGATATGGGGGGCCATACTATTCTCAGCATACCTGGACGATCCACCAAGTGATGCCAGCATGTGCTCTCTGTTGAAAGGCATCACTTCTACTTGGATCGCCTGCTGCACGGGACCATCGCTGCACCTCACTTTGTTATGACGGTTGCGTGCCCGGTCAGTGGGTAGCCTTTAACCTTATCGGGGGACTGGTTTTCCATGGTTTTCCCATGAAACAAGAACGGGTGGAAAAAGGTTAACATGTTGCAGGGAAACGGAGGGAGTCCGCTTAAGAAGCTCAGGTGGGGTGTTGGTCAATCCATTCTGGGGAAGCTGGGGATGTCACCGCTTCGAATGTCATTTTGCCTTGAACAAAAGACACAAAAAAGGGGGTCTCTTCAGGTGTCGAAAGAATCTTGGGAGGGAATTTGGTGGGCCAAGGAGCACTGGGACGGTCAAGCCAAACTAGATGGACCGTACTTCAGGCAATCACAGTACAGGCCCAGTCTGACCCCGGTTCAAACCCGGTCCTGAGAACCTCATGGAGTATATCAACTCCAAAATGACGTCCGTTTGACCTGTAGGGAATGGGTCCGCCAACACCGCCATTGGAGTCATTCAAGGGACCTGTTCCTGGATGTAGCTAGTAGCTTCTTGCTACTAGTAACGATGCCCTTGCTAGTAACGATGCCCTTGTTACTAGTAGCGATGCCCGTGTTACTAGTAGCGATGCCCTTGTTACTAGTAGCGATGCCCGTGTTACTAGTAGCGATGCCCTTGTTACTAGTAGCGATGCCCTTGTTACTAGTAGCGATGCCCTTGTTACTATAGTAGCGATGCCCGTGTTACTAGTAGCGATGCCCTTGTTACTAGTAGCGATGCCGTTGTTACTATAGTAGCGATGCCCGTGTTACTAGTAGCGATGCCCTTGTTACTAGTAGCAATGCCCTTGTTACTATAGTAGCGATGCCCTTGCTACTAGTAGCGATGCCCTTGCTACTAGTAGCGATGCACTTACTACTAGTAGCGATGCCCTTGCTACTAGTAGCGATGCCCTCGTTACTAGTAGCGATGCCCTTGTTACTAGTAGCGATGCCCTTGTTACTAGTAGCGATGCCCTTGTTACTAGTAGCGATGCCCTTGCTACTAGTAGCGATGCCCTTGTTACTAGTAGCAATGCCCTTGTTACCAGTACCGATGCACTTACTCGCAACGATGCCCTTGCTACTAATAGGGATGCCCTTGTTACTAGTAGCGATGCCCTTGTTACAATAGTAGCGATGCCCTTGCTACTAGTAGGGATGCCCTTGTTTCTAGTAGCGATTCCCTTGTTACTAGTAGCGATGCCCTTGTTACTATAGTATAGTAGCGATGCCCTTGTTACTAGTAGCGATGCCCTTGTTACTAGTAGCGATGCACTTACTACTAATAACTAGTAACAATGCCCTTGCTACTAGTAGCGAGTAACGATGCCCTTGCTACTAGTTACTAGTAGCGATGCCCTTGTTACTAGTAGCGATGCCCTTGTTACTAGTAGCGATGCCCTTGTTACTATAGTAGCGATGCCCTTGCTACTAGTAGCGATGCCCTTGTTACTAGTAGCGATGCACTT